TCCCACCCAGTCCACCGCACAGGTGGCAGACACAATGGCCAATATCACCCAAGAATAAAGAAAACCCTTCTGAGCGCACACATTCCCTCYAGGTGAAGGGAAGCTCTAAAAGCACTAAGTGCATTAGCCGTGTCTGGAGAGCGTTTACCGGGCATCACAAGGGAGCCTCGTCCCACTCCCAAGCATGGATTTGTAGACAACATTGTTCACACAACTACAACCAACACCCCAGTGAGAAGCACTGGTCTTGGAGATCCTCCACATAGAAAGTGACTCGGTGCCCAAGGCACTGCTCAGGGACAGGAATTCTCTTGGATTATTCCAGGAATGTTTAAGTCATATGTGCTAGGTCTTTGTGGAGAGCCCAGGGCCTATATTTCTGTCTCTGTCTTTATTCAGAGGGGAAAAAACAAGAAGCACAGCAACGCTCAGAGCTCTTGAGCTGGCCCAACAAGAATCGTTTGAACCAAGCAGACCCAGAACCTAGGGAAACTTGCACCAAACTCACACTGTAATAAGCAGAAAGGAACCCGAGTTGTGAATCCCCCTCCCCTGCTTCCCACAGCCCCATTCAGGCACTGCTCAGCTGGTGGTTGCTCTATGCATCCAGGTTGGAAGACGCCTCTAAAACTGCTCCTGGCTAATCTTTCCACTTGTCTGAAACCACCTCGGTGTGGTGGCCTTAGCACATGTCTCTGTTATGTAAAATGCTGGGCCTGACCACATTTCTATGCACCACAGCGTGTTTCAGGTCCATTCGCTTGTTAATGGGGGCTGGTTGGGCACACGTTCCTTGTCTCCAAACCAGCTCTGCTGGCTTACCTCATCTGCACCCACCTTATCTCATCTGCACTAAGTAACCCAACTCAGGCGTTCACCTTGGCTTCTATAAGATGATCCTGAGATGAAAACATAGTCTATGTAGCATTCCGGGGGATAACTAAGACTTTTTGGCAAAGGAGCCACATGAAAGCTGAACACTCACTTGGTTTGACAGAGAGTCTGGTCCCAGAGCCGAAGGTTAACTTGTTGTAGCTGGAGCCATATTCACACAGCATTTCCTTCCATAACAAAAAGCCTAGCAAGGCACCTCAGAAGCACCCTTTTTCCTAAAGGCTTGGCCCGTCTTGGCCAAGAACATGAGGGACACCAGAAAAGAGCCATGGGTCAGGGGAATCGGGGTATCCCAGGGCTGGGAGCAGAGTTTTACATCCTAGCTATAACAGATTTCTCCCAAGAATAGAGAAGAAGAGTTTTACAGTGCACTTTCCCTGGACACCAAGGAAAGCTCTGAAAGCCCTAGTCACACTTGCACATGTAGAAAGCATTTATTGGGCATCACAGGGAGTCTTGTCCTGCTCCCGAAGATGAACAGGCATCATGGATCACACGTGGCATGCTGCCTGAGCACCAAGTCACTTGCTAGTTACGCTCCCACGTCCATGACCAACAGCCCAGGGGCACTGCAGCCTTCGAATACCCAAAGGAAAAAAGCACAGAAAGCAGAAATCCCTAGTGTGGTGAAGGACGTACATGCAGAGGGCTTCTTCCAGTCCTAAGCAACCTTCTAAATGGGAGGTTAGTGCTAGCCTTGATTAGATTCCATACAGAACAACGCAAGCAAGCTCTTGCCTTTCACTTTGTGCTGGTCACAGTGGTGTTTTATAGATAAGTGAGTCATTTCTGGACACCTGCCCTCTGCTCTCCCATACAACGTGAGCTTTTTCTAAGCCCAGTTATGCTCCCCTCCCGATAGGTCACTTGGTCAAGGAACTTCTCCAACAGAACTTAATCAGTGGTCTTGACCACAAGTTACATCTTGGGATATGCTCATGCATTTCCTTGTGGTGCTGAGCAGCAGGAGGTCTGGAATTGTTCCGTGCGTGACAGGGAAAAAAGTCACCTCTTATAACTGCAGCAAATTACCTGTATTACCATTTTGGGTAATACTCTTAGAGCTGCACAAGCTCTATACACACTACACAAGCTCTTCTCAAAAGGAGAAAAATAAATAAATAAAATGGGGTGAAATGTAAAAATAAAAGAAAAATAATCACACTGGATGAAGGAGTGTATCTCCCTTTCCAAAATAGATTGGAAAAGCTCTTTAAACTTACTTGGTCGTATCCTTAATCGAGTTCCACCTCCAAAGGAGGGTTTGCCCCAGTTGCTGCTCACACAGTGTTTTCCTTCACAGCAAATACCCCGTAAGTCATTTATCCCCTTCATTGCTGTGTTACTTAGAAATCCATGGGTTTGCTCATTTGGTGCCAGTATTCCCAAGTTCAATATTTGGGAACTCTAGCTTGTGTTTCCCCTAGAGTGTTTCTTTGTTAGGGGTATCTTCCAGCTTTGAAAAGAGGCAGGGATTACTAGCAAAACACCACTTTCAGTCTTTGCTCAACCTCCAAATCAGAGCTCTTTCTCTGCATTCACTGACACACTCCAAGATACATTTCTTGATTTTTTTCTGCCAAATCTTGGGCAAGAAAAGAAACATAACAAAGACCTTAATTAAAATAAGATAGTGGGTATCAAAGTTTAACAGATTCTATTTTTGCAGGCTGGTAAGTCATTCCAAAAATAACTGACCAAAGACCCAGCCACCTATGAAACATGATAGGGCAAGACAATCAGTCACCTCTCCACCGGGCAGCACGGGAGATAGCTAAAGAGGACGTGCCTTCCAAAGTGACCATGAGGTCTTACTCCTGCCTGAAATTTCTGTCAATATCAACACCTGCAACTCCATCCTGCATGCACATGACCTGACATGAGACTTGCTCCTATTCCTTTCAACATCCACATCTTACCCAGGCTGCAAACGGTAACCACTATGTCCCACTGTATTCCTCTCTCCATTTCTTTTCAGGGTGGAAAAAAAAATAAAAACAAAAGAGTACTAATAGACCCTACTATTGAACAAGAAATATTTCACCCAAAACAGACTCAGAACATGACCAAAACTGTAGAGAAGTCACGGCATCAGAAGCAGAACTGAAGCGCAGTTGTGAATTCTCCCTCACCCGCCTTTTACAGTCACTCAGGCATTGCTCATCTGGTAATCGCTCTGTCCATCCATGCTCAACACCACCACTATTACTGCTCACAACTAACCTGTCCACTGGTCTTATACTACTTAGTAACAGGGAGGTTTGGAAGCAAACCTTCATTTTTTCGAAACCTCACTGCTGGCTTAGGTTGTCTGCACTACCTGACCTGGCTCGTGTGTTTGTCTTGTCCTCTGTAAGGTGATCCTGATAAGACTTGTAAGAGCCTGACAAGACTAAGTCTATGTAGGGATCTAGTGAACACCTAGGGTATTTGGAAAAGGAGACACGTGAAAGCTCAATACTCACTTGGCTTGACAGAGAGTCTGGTCCCTGAGCTGAAGGTTGGCTTGTAGCCTGCACCAGAGGTACACAGCATTTCCTTCCATAACAAAAAGCCTCACAAGGCTCTTCAGAAGCACCTTCTTTTCCCAAAGCTTGGCCCATCTTGGCCAAGGAGCACAAGAGATGTGCCGTGCAGCAGGGGAATTCAAGGGTTCAGAGTAGAGCCTAACATCCTAGCTATAAGAGATGAAGCAAAGTTCATTGCTAATCTGATGGGCACTCATCACACTTGCCCTCCATTTCCTCCTATCCAGTCCATCCCATGCGTAGCAGGCAGAATGGCCAATATCACCCAAGAATAAAGAAAAAGATGCTGACCACACACATTCTTCACTCTGAAAGCACTAAGTATGTCAGCCACATCTGGAGAGCACTTACTGGGCATCACAGTAGGTCCTTGTCCCACTCCCAAAGGTGTTGGCACCATTATTCAAAGAGTACTTTAAACTATAAGAAAACCCCAGTGAGAAGCATTGGCCCTTGAGATCTTGGCCCTTGATCATTGACCCTTGAGAAGAGGAAGGCTCATCTCTGCTTGGACTTTGTGAAGATCCTAGTCCCTTAAACTTAGGAGCAGATGTGAGGTGCAGTCAATTTTTGATCCCTAGACCGAGTGATGATAAGGAAGGGCTGCTTTGGTCATACAAGGTGTTCTGCCTGAAAATAAACTCATTTCCTAGATATGTCCTCCAGGTTTGTAATACCATTGGCAGAAACCAAGAAAATTTACGCACTGGAAAAAGTCCCTTTCAACAGTTTCAGCCTATGCCAGCCAAAATGATTGATCCTGTTTCTCATGAGGAGTAGCAAGAGCTGGGGAGAAAGGATAATGTAGAAGAAAGCTCAGCAAAGAGAGTGTGCATCCAGGAGCTTTCCGAGCCCGGAATGAGCCCGCTGCAGTTAGGAAGGGAGAATCGCTCAAGGCATTAGAAAGGGCTAATTTTGATACCTGGGTGAAGGAAACAGTGTTACTGGGCAGCAGCAGTACTTACTGGGCTTCACTACTAGACGGGTCCCTGTCCCCAGTGCCAGCTTGAAGCTTCCTGTGTTCACACAGCCCTTCACACCACAGCAAAAACCACCAGCGGTTATTCCAGTCCCTCCACAAGGAAACTCCAATGGAAGAGCTCCTTCCCAAATAACTCAGCCTTTTAAAACCAGGATGAGCACTAGCCTTGTTTAGATTCCATACACAACAAGTAAGCCCTTGCCGTGCGCTGCGGCATGGTCACACTGGTGTCTTATGGAGAAGTAAGTCATTTCTGGTCATCTCCCCTCTGTTCCTCCATTCAACATGAGCTTTTTCCAAACCCAGTTAGCTCCCTCCCAATAGGTCACTTGGGCAAGAAACTCCTCTGGCAGAAGTGAATCTGCAGTCATGAACCTGATTTAGAGCTCTGGAAACTTCAGCTCATGCCAGTGTCCCTTGGGTGTTGTCCAGTGGTGCTACCTCAGTGCAGAGCAGCAGGAGGTCTGCAATCGCTCCATGTGTGGCAAGAAAAATCTCACCTGGTGCAACTACAGCAGCCACCACTATTTCAGCTACTTTTGTTAGAGCTGGTGGAGCCACCAATTGCACACTAAGGAGCTTTGTAGACCTTTGAAGATATTCAAACAATATATACTTTTGCTCAAAAAAAAAAAAAAAAAAACCCACAAAAACAAAAACCGAGCAATAAATGGATGGATATGTGTATCTTTCTTATCTAGACAATGGAGCAGAAGAGGGTTTAAAAACTTACTTGGTCTTATCCTCAATCGAGTTCCACCTCCAAAGCTGACTTTGCCTCCGTAATTATTCACACAGTGTTTTCCTTCACAGCAAAAACTCCTACAGTTAAACTAACACACAAACAAAAGCAGGGCCCGCTTTCATCCTCTGCCTTGACTGTGCAGCTAGTTGTAAAGATCTCGTGGAAAGCCGATGGTTTCCCCCCAGGAAGGAGAATTGTGCTTAGTAGTCCTTACATAACCAGGTTGGGTTCCTACCAGGTTTTACTGCTAGGTTGGTCCCTGCTCTAAAGGTCTCTTTCCAGGTATAGGCTGAAGTCATATCGTGACACATATTGTGCCAACCAAAACCACATGCAATTTTACTCTGGACAAATACTGACTTCTTCCAAAGCCACTGACTTTGTCCAAAGAGGAAAAAAAAAGATGTCTCCCTTGTCACGTGTCTCTGGCTCCAAATGACAACATCTTTTGATTGACTTTTGTCTGACCTCTCCACAGAAATCCAAACCTAAACAGATGGGAAAGGTTTCATGTGGGAGACCAATCCCATCTCCTTCTGCATGTTACTCCTTTAGCCTAGGTACCTAGATTAGAAAGCAATCTCCAGCGCTTACAGGGATTTACAGGGATTCTGTGTCTTTCCCCAAGCCAAGATTTGTGCTCTTTCCTCCATAGTCTACCCAGGAGATTCCATAGTTTACGCAGGACATTTCTGCTTTATAACCACCACCTGTAGCTGAGAGGAGCCCTTTTCCAACAGCACGACTTCAGAAAGGCTGACATCAAGGACTTCTCAGTTACTACATGGGAAGCTATGACAGCCCTATTTTGAATTTAAGAAGAAATAGTTGGTATTGAATGTTGACAAAGGGCATTTTTGCAGACTGGTAAGTCATTCCAAGAAACCCTGACCAGTCACAAAGACACCGCTGCCCAAGAACCCTGATGTGTCAGGGCAATCACCTGTCCACAGGGCAGCACGTGAGACAGCTGAATGGCTCTCACCTCCCAAAGGGAGCACCAGCTCTTGTTCCTCCCCAGGATTTCAGACCACAGCCCCATTCTCACCAAGACACTTACAGGGTCTCACAGAAAGGCTGGTTCCACGTCCAAAGGTGAGCTTGCCAAGACCTGTAGATTGTCACAGCCACACAGAGCCTTACAATAACGCTGCAGCCAGCAGAGAGGAAACCTGCTCACCTTCTGAAGTGGCTGACATGAGTCTTTCCCTTCTGAGAAGGAGAAGAGTGACCAAAGGATAAGATTTAATTCCTGACCTACAACTCCATCAGTCTGCAGACACCAGCCTAACACATAGCTTCTCTTCAGCAATCAATGTCTGTGTCCAGACTGCAGTGCTGCAATCAGCAACCCCTAGAGAGCTATTTCCAATTAGGAAAACAATAATTAGACCAATTCAGGCCCCTGCAGAAGCTCCTCGTGCTGCTCAGCATGCATATGTTGAGGTGCATCTCTCAGTCCCACCACAGTTTTGTTGCTAAGTTCCTGCAAAAGCCCTTGTCCCCTTTCCCAAGACAAGCCCACTGCCCTCTCCGCTCTGCACTCCCACAGCTCCTCACAGCTTCGCCATAGTCTGGGAGAAGGCTCCAGGTTGTGTGGAGCTCTGGAGTGTGGCTGGAGGCTTCCAGGAGGTCTGGAATTGCTCCATGTGTGACAGGGAAAAAGTCACCTCTTACAACTGCAGCAGTTGCCTGTATTGCCATGTTGGGTAGCACCATTAGAGCTGTTAAAATGTCCAATTGCCAGTTAAGGAGCTTCCAGGTGAGAAGCTCATCTGGAAGAGCCATGACCAGTAGAACTCCTGTGCAGCCAGGAGCGTTCAGCCTGTCTTCAGTGCGTGAAGAGCAACCACCCAACTGTACAAGAGAGAGCAAACCGACTCGCCCCGTGCTGCATGGTCATACAGTCAGTGTGGTCATGATGCACAGGGGCATTCCAAGCGAGGAAGGCTCAAGGATTGTTTTGTTTGTTAGGACAGCAAGGAAACAAGAAAACAAGAGAGATGAATAAACACGAGGAAAGTTAGGTAGACTTTCCTTAAAATTCATACAATATATAGCCTTTGCTCAAAAGCAAAAC